CAAATCAAACAGAATTTCTATTTAAATATGATTTAACTTGATAAATATTTTATGAAATTTTATTTAATTATAATTTAATTCAAATAAATTTGAAGTTCTATACTGTACTCCATCTTACATTCTCTACCCATGATTGTTACCAAACTTTGCAAATTTACCTTAAAATCAAATTAGTGAAAATAGTAATTCAAAATAATAACACAAACTATATCTCTAAATAGTACTATTATGCATTTTTATTAGAAAAATAAAAAAAAATGGTATTTACTAACAGAGACCCTATTTACTAAAAATGTAATTTTTGTTTTGACGAGGGAATGATTCTTCCTTTTTAACTACTACCACTATTTATAGGGGACTTTGGAAGTATGAACACAATGAGAATTTCAAATTTTCTTTTTTCAAACGAAGACAAATTTAACTCTGCCTCTTCTCTTTTTAGCAAGTAGTTTTCCTTATTTAAAAAGTAGCTTTTCTTCTTAGCTAAAAAAATATCAATTCTTCTTGATTTAAATTTCAACATTTATGGAAAACTACTACTTTTAACTTATATACTTGACCAACATTTATTATTCATTTGAAACCACTACTTGCCTAATATCACGCTAAAGTTGAACTAGGTGTCAACATCACCAAACAACAACTTTTGTAAAATAGTAATTCAATTTCTTGTTGACACACTAGAAAACCATAATATTGTTCAAGAGGAAAATGTAACATCTACTTTTCAATTCTTCTAACCAAAACTTTCCTTAGCTTACATAAAAATGAATTATATGCTTATTCAAAATGATTCTTGATTTTACTTGGACATAGTTTTTCAATAACTTGCATGACTTTATCTACGGCTAAATTTAAGAAAATCAAAATAACATTAAAAATAAAACACACATATAATAAGTTTCTATAAAACTAAGGATATCAACAAAGATTCTTTTCAACTAACAACTAGTTATTCATCTATGCATATCAAGTGTTTCTCTTATAAGTATGAGTGTTTATCTCATACCTTTCATTTTAGTTAGATTGATTATCATTTACATTAATGCAAATAAATTATTAAACAATAGATCACTAAAGTCTTTTATATGTTATAATGTGGTAGAGCCTAGAACAAATTCCTTTTTTTTTATTAATTAAAAGTGCCTTTAATTATAAAAAAAATCATTCATCATTTGTTTGTTACTTTATTTTCCTCCTTTTTCATTTTGTCTTTTTTTCTTTTTTCTTTTCTTTTCTTTTTGTCTTTTTGAAGCATTGTATTTTTGGCATTTTTTTCACAATCTTTTGCTTTACTTTTCAATTTTATTCTTTTTTTTTTCTATATCAAGAAGATATGACCAATTTTATTAACCCAATCCAACCTTCGATTAATAATTTATTGTTGCTTCAATTTGATAATTTGGATTTTACTCTCTCTAAGATTGATTTCCAAGTCACTTTTCTTTTAAGATTTGCACGAATAGTTATTCGAAATATTTGGATGGGGCATCACTTATTTTTCGATGCAGAATATTGCTAGCCCCTTCCATCCACTCTGATTGTGTGTTTATACTGATCAACATGTTTTCTTAATGGTAATTGACTTTTAAATTTGATGTAACTTTGAACTGTTGAGATATTAGATATAACCCAAGATGAGTTGTGTGACCCAAGCCTAAAGTTAATTAAGCTTTAGGGTTTGTTAATTAGTTTGTTATTTTTTTAGTAGTCAAGTCACTTATGTGTATATAAATAAACACTTTGTAATTCAGTTTTATTCAATAATATCAATTCTTATTTTCTTGTGCACACTTTTTTTCTCCTCACTAAAAGTGTCTCACGCACTAACAAATTGGAAACTGTTCTACTAGTGGTAGCCTTAGCATGCAATCAAGGTTGGTCGACATTTTACTTAGATGTGAAATCGACATTTTGAATAGACCTTTAGATGAAGAGGTGTATGTCACGCAACCTCTTGAGTTTGTGATTCAAGAGGAAGCAAGTAAAGTATACAAGTTGCACAAGATCGACTCATACTTAGTAGAATTGGAATTCGTCAAACGCTTTTATGTTCAGGTTGTGGCACAAGATATAACATTCATCTGCTTATATGTCGTTGACTTGTTAGTAATTTGAAGTAGCTTGGAGAACTTGTTGATGTTCAAAGAGCTGATGAAAAAAGAATTTGAAATGTTAGATCTAGAAAAGATGTCATCTTTCCTAAACATGAAATTTCAAATGTTGATGCAAGGCATGATGCTACATCAAAGAAAGTATGTCAAAGAGATATGTAAGAGATTTAGAATGGATGATTCGAGTCCTGCATCTTCGTCTATCAAACCAAATTTAAAGTTGGAGAAGCATGGAGAGGAAGACAAAGTCGATGCGACTTTGCTCAAACAAATTGTCGGATCTTTGCGATTTGTGTGCAACAGTTGACCTGATATATGTTTCTCAGTCGGATTAGTGATCAGATATATGAGTGAACCAAGGGTGTCACATATGAAGGCTGCAAGAAGAATCTCGAGATACTTAAAAGGATCGACAAACTATAGAATTTTATTTCGACGAGATTCTAAAAGCAAAGAAACTATGATTACTTGTTATTCAAATGTTGATTGGTATGGAGATAAGGAAGATCAAAGAAGCACTACTAGATATTTCTTTCAAGTATTTGGTGCTCCAATCTCACGGTGCTTCAAAAAGCAACTTATGGTGGCATTGTCATCATATGAGGCTGAATATATATCAGGGTCATATGCTGCGTGTCAAGCAATTTAGATCAGATCTGTGCTGGAAGAGATCGAGGTCAAAGTGAAGAAACCTCTGGTACTGCTGATCGACAACAAGTCAGCCATAAATTTGGCGAAGAATCCGGTTTTGCATGGAAGAAGTAAGCACATCGAAGAAAGATTTTACTTCTTAAGGGAGAAGATGAATCAATGTGAACTTGAAGTAAGATATTGCTTAAGTGAAGCTCAGTTGACATACACTTTCACCAAAAGGATTGAAGATCAACAAGTTCCTAACGTTGAGAAAGAAATTAAGAATAGTTCAGATTGAGAATGATTAGTGTGTTTCGACAACTTGGATTATAGGGGGTATGTTGAGATATTAGATATAATTCAAGTTGAGTTGTGTGGCCCAAGTCTAAAGCTAATTAAGGTTTGTTATTTAGCTTGTTATTTTACTTAGTAGTCAGGTCATTTAAGTGTATATAATTAGACATTTTATAATTCAGTTTTATTAATTCAATAATATTAATTATTATTTCCTTATTCTTTTCTTTTCTCTTCTCACTAAAAGTGTATCACGCATTAACATGAACAACATTTAAATTTTCTTCATATTTCAAATAATTGTCCAACTCTTTATTTTGATGATTAATGTGTTATCTACTTATTAAATGTGAAAAGCCTCTCCAATATCCTAGTCAAAACTTTATCCAACAATTTTCTCCGACTCAACCGATTTTTTCATAAGAATATTGAAACCTTCGTATACTATAATAAGTAGAAAATGTAACAAAGAATCACTCTTTATGAACCCTCGACCATAGTAAAATCTTGATCAACCGAGATGACATGTCATAAAACACTATTTTTTAATAATTATTTATTAAAAGAGTAATTAAACTAAATTTAATATTAAAAAATATAAATAAATATTATCATGTAAACCAAAAGTAAAAAATTTAAGAATGCACTTCATCTTTAGTATATAAGATTTAATGGAGGTGTATGACAACGTAATTTACATTATAAAAATATACCGCATTACTCTGTTATATTTATAAATAATTTAAATTTTTTAATCTAATTTAAAGGAATACACGGTTATTGTTGATTAAATTGTAAAATTAATTTATAAGTCATTTCATTTATTATTTAATTTTTCTTTTATAAAACTGAAAGGAGACAAAAACGTATTTAAATAAAAAAAATAACTTTATAACTGATTTGTGAAATTGATTTGACGTGGATTTGGTGCCTTTGCCGGCGTTTTTGATTCTACCGCCCAGCTTCGGATCGGAGTGATTCTCTCTCTGTGCCATTATCAAACAAGACAAGGTTCTCTCTCATTCCCAGTTCCGCTCCTTCGTTTCTTTTTCTTCCGCTTCAATTTTGTATGTATTTCATGTGCTAAGAAAGGAGTGTTGGTTGATTAGGGGTTTTTCATGTTTTATGCATATATAGACTTTATAGAAGGGATCAATTTGAACTTATTAAAATCGAAGTTAATACCACACCATTGAATAAGTTCTTTATTGTGTAATTTTCTCAGAAAGCCTGAATTTGGATTTAAAAATTCTATTTTGTAGATCATGCACACTCTTCAAAAATTCAAGATGGTTTTTACGATTCTTGGTTTTTGCAGATGTGATAGATATATATTTACTACTTAACATTTAGATGGATTGAAATTAATTTATGGGAAGATTGAAATTAAGTTAGGCGAAGATTGAGAATGTTTGTCATATGTCAATTTAGAGGTTTTGAGGGAATATTTAGAATGTTCGGAGTCCTGAGGAGCATCAGAAGCAACTTTCGACTAATATCATTTTTGTTCTTGCTACGGACTTTGCAATCATTCAACCGGAATATAGTGATGTGGAACACTCACTTGGAGGGAGATTGTTGAAGTTTAAGTGAGAGTGGTTAGTTTCCCATCGACTATGAATGAGATGAATGGAGGATATATAAGAGAGAGAGTTCATATTCTCAATTGTCTTAATCATTAGCTAGTTGTTGCTTCCGGCACGCCCCCGGATTCCTCAACAAGGTCTGCTCCTAAGTGGTTTCCTTGTTAGACATATGCGAGGAGACTGTTGAGCTTAGCATTGTTAATTAACGTGTGCTTATTTTAGGCTTGATTACTTTTATTTGAAGTACATGTATTATCCTTGGTTCTTGTGTGCGAGTTAAATTGTTTTAACAATTAGTTGCTGTTCTATAATTTATGGGCAATACTTTGTTTGTGCAGGTTCTCTAAGTCAACTCAATTTCTGATTATTAAGGATGGTGCTGGTATTGGCCCTGGGGGATATGCACATACCCCACAGGGCGCCTGATATTCCTGCGAAGTTTAAGTCAATGCTTGTGCCTGGGAAGATCCAGCACATCATTTGTACTGGAAACTTGTGTATTAAAGTATGTCAATCTTATTATAATCATAACTCAGTTTTTTTTTTGTGAAATAAATATTCTTGTCTTAAAATCTTGTAGCTATAGAATTTAAGTTCATCAGGAATGGTTAACTTGTTAAAGTGTATGCGTCTCTGCTTGCATTTGAATGTTTATCTGCAGGATATCTCAACTTGTGTGTTTTCACATTTTCTATGTTGTGCTGCGTGCTTTTATCATTGTCCAAGCTTCTTAGTTAGGTACACAAGTGATGCTTTTTAACAACTAGTAAAATTGGATAATCCTAGGTTTCTCTATGGAAGGTTTGTAATGATTCCTGTTGCCAGTGGCGAAGCCATTTTAGGGCTTGATGGGATGCCCCCTGATTTCTCTAGAATGCATTGTCCACTATTTTGGAAGGGCTTGTGGAGCTTTTAATAATTGATTCCTGCCCCCTCTTCCTTTCTTGTTGATATTGTCAAACAATGTATTTGATTTTCTAACCATATTTTTTGCATGTAAAATTGGTTGATCACCTCCCTTGAGATCAGTGATACCGTGTTATTGGTGACAAGAACGGAAAGTAATGATTGTAGGTTGTTTTGCTGTTCTTGTTGTTACCATGGCTAGTATTGTATGAAGCATAAACACTTTGTACGACAACTCAAACAAGAGTCCCAATTGGAGTTAAAGATTTATCAAGGCAATGATGATCAATGACACGGTTAAAGAGTTGATTAGATCATGTCTAACTTTTCGGTAGTAGATGAATGAATGTGAAATAGTACCATATCTTGTTTTACATTTTTTTAATGGAACCAATAGCTCGATATAGATGCACATATATGTTATGATTCTCAATTAAGATATTTAATAGTGTTCAAATTTTATTTAATTATAGTAAATGAATATGTACCGGTGTTGTGTTCTAGATTTTTTACATTTGATATTTATTTCTATTCCCATTAACTATGATTTGAAAGTAGAATTTCTTAGGATTAAATTTCTAAGGTAAGTTTTATGTCATTTATATTCAGGAAGTCCATGACTACCTAAAGACTCTTTGTCCCGACTTGCATATAACTCGTGGTGAGTATGATGAAGATTCAAGATATCCGGAGACCAAAACACTAACCATTGGCCAATTTAAGTTGGGGCTATGCCATGGTCATCAGGTTTGATTTAGTTTTTACTCCTATATTATATGCGCTAGTTCTCTTCTGTAGATTACCAGTTTTGGATTCTTCTCATCAGTTAACGGGAGCTTCCCTAGTTAATTTTGGGTTTCATCATCTAACGGGAACTATTATTGGTTATGTTTCACAGAAACCAAAAACTGTGTTATGATATGTATTGCTATACAATGATTATGTCGTCTTAATGATTTTGAAGGTTATTCCATGGGGAGACCTAGACTCACTGGCCATGTTACAGAGACAGCTTGATGTAGACATCCTTGTCACAGGTCACACCCATCAGTTTACCGCTTACAAACACGAGGGCGGCGTGGTTATAAATCCAGGTTCTGCATCTGGTGCCTACAGCAGCATCACCTATGATGTGAACCCGAGTTTTGTGCTAATGGACATTGACGCTCTGCGTGTCGTGGTCTATGTATATGAACTTATTGATGGAGAGGTCAAGGTTGACAAAATTGACTTTAAGAAAACATCCGCAAGCGTCCCTGCTCTTTGAACACTTGTATTTTGCTTTGAAGTTTGTATCACATGTATTTGACAGTATAGTAGGATTTGATCATTGTGACCTGCGAGGAACTTATGTGACTGATTAGCAATGGTTTTATGTACCCCTTTTACCAGTGATTGGTCCAGATATTATATGCTGCAAAATATTTGCTTAAGTAGAAATATGTAACATTGTAATTTGTATTTCACAAACAGACAGCTATTTTAGACATCCACGATCTGCACCTAAATGTTAGTTTTAGTTTACAACAACCAAATAAGAGCTTTTCAATCGGATTAGCTTACAACCAAACAAAACTTCTTACAATGAGATTTTACAATAATTCCCTGGAAATTTTACCCCATACCCCTACAATTATACCCATACCCCTATACTAAATTTTTTTGGACCAAAATACCCTCATATAAAAAGTTATAATTTTTTGGTTTGTTTACCGGAAGACTTTTTTGGAAGTCTTCCGGTTCACATTTTTTTTTGTTTGTTTACCGGAAGACTTTTTGAAAGTCTTCCGGTTTACATTTTTTTTGGTTTGTTTACCGGAAGACTTTTTGGAAGTCTTCCGGTTCATGTTTTTTTTTAATTTTTTAATTTTTTTAATATTCAAATTACAAATATATTTATTCTATTTACTCTATTTTAGTTAATTAATATATTTATTCTATTTACTCTATTTATTCTATTTATTTATTTAATAATAATTATTCCACTAATTTAATTTTTTATTAATTTACTATATTTATTTACTTAATAATAATTACTCCACTAATTTGGTATTGTTTTTTTTAATCAATAAAAATTAAAATTGTTAACTAATTTATATATTGATTGTGTTCTTTAAAGAAGAAAATTAACAATTTAATAATATGTTTATATGAAAAATAAAAATAAATATCATATTTAAATTATAATCCTATCATTTCTTCTATCAAAAAATTTCACCAAAAAATTATAATATATAACATTTATAATTATTTAAACAATATTTTATGGGGTAAAATATTAACTTTTAAAAATATATTTTATGGGGTAAAATATACTTTTAAAAATTTTCACCATAAAATATTAACTTTTAAAATTTGTAGGGGTAAAATATTTTATGGGGTAAAATATTAACATTTAAAATATTAAAAACTAATTAAATCATAAATATTTAGCAGAAGAGTGATGAAAACATGTTTTAGCAGAAGAGTGTAGTGAAATTATCCAAAGGAAGCTTCCACCCAAAATCATTAATCAGGTAGATTCACTATTCCTTATGTTATTGGTTCGCTAAATATTAGCATTTCTCTGTTTGATTTAGGAGCTAACATTAATCTGATGTCATTGTCCATGATGAGGAAGTTAAAATATGGTGAGTAGAAACATACTCAAATGATTCTAACACTGGTGGATAGATCAATCACATGCCCATATGGAATTCTTGAAGATGTCTCGGTAAGAGTAGATGTTCTATCATTTTCAGTCGACTTTGTGATTCTAGATATGCCTGAGAATTTTGAGACACCACAATTACTCGGAAGAAAATGTTTATGATTTAATTAGTTTTCAATATTTTAAAAGTTAATATTTTATCCCATAAAATATTTTACCCCTACAAATTTTAAAAGTTAATATTTTATGGTGAAAATTTTTAAAAGTATATTTTACCGCATAAAATATATTTTTAAAAGTTAATATTTTACCCCATAAAATATTGTTTAAATAATTATAAATGTTAAATATTATAATTTTTTGGTGAAAATTTTTTACAGAAGAAATGATAGGATTATAATTTAAATATAATATTTATTTTTGTTTTTCATATAAACATATTATTAAATTGTTAATTTTCTTCTTTAAAGAACACAATCAATATATAAATTAGTTAACAACTTTTACTTTTATTGATTTAAAAAAACAATACCAAATTAGTGGAGTAATTATTATTAAGTAAATAAATAAGAATAAATTAATAAAAAATCAAATTAGTGAAATAATTATTATTAAATAAATAAATAGAATAAATAGAGTAAATAGAATAAATATATTAATTAATTAAAATAGAGTAAATAGAATAAATATATTTGTAATTTGAATATTAAAAAAAATTTTAAAATAAATAAATAAATAAAAAAATAAACATGAAGACTTCCAAAAAGTCTTCCGGTAAACAAATCAAAAAAATGTGAACCGTTAGACTTCCAAAAAGTCTTCCGGTAAACAAATCAAAAAAAATGTAAACCGGAAGACTTCCAAAAAGTCTTCCGGTAAACAAACCAAAAAAATGTGAACCGGAAGACTTCCAAAAAGTCTTCCGGTAAACAAACCAAAAAATTATAACTTTTCATACGAAGGTATTTTGGTCCAAAAAATTTTAATGTAGGGATATGGGTATAATTGTAGGGGTATGGGATAAAATTTCCTAATTCCCTTACACCTACACCTGAACCAAACACCTCACAAATAAAATAATTTAATCTAAAAAGCACTAAGGAAAAAAATTAGGAAATAAAAGAAGAAAGAAAGGTATTATAATGCGATTTTTTGATGTAAAATGAAAAGAGGGGAAACCCTATAAATATAGGACAACATGTGGATTAAAAAGGATACGGTCCATTGGCCTTTTAAAGTCAATAATTGATTATGCTATATGGATAATTGATTATGCGACACAAAAAGAAGGTTTTAATAGGCGCTTCCGTTAATCGTCTAAGAGACCTAACAATTAATTATTCGGGTTACAAAGTTGATAATTTATTAACCCTAATGAAATGATTGATTATGCCATATAAAAACTCTTCTAGTTGATTAAAATGAGTATCTAACCCATTATCTAGACACAACAACATTTTACGATTGATGTAATTATGTAAGATTATTTCCAATCATTCAAAAATGTATGTGATTTGTCTTAGTAAATTCGAGAACTAACATTATACCTTTATAGACAGAGATCACTCGACACAAACACAAAAAGCTTTCACACTTCATCTCTTTTATAAAACTGAAGCTTCAGGTTCTTTACTATATTATCTTTGACTTTTGCACTTCACTAGAACTTTGATTCTTATATCTGACGAGGTTTGAGATAAATCTTCATGATAAACACCATCATCAAACACACAACTTGATCAGAGATCTTCACCGACTTCACTAAATGTTGCTTGACTTAAGGTGTTGTCCTCTAGATAAGGGCTTTGATATCTTGATCTCCAAGCATCACAACTTGATCACCACATGAAATGACAACTTCACCACCTCATAATGTTTTCATCATCAACAATATATAGACTTTATCATCACTTACGATTGAGACTTTATTTTAGAGTATTGTCATCATTAAAACCAAATAGATTGTTGCAGTCATTGTACCTGCAAGCACACACACACACACACACACGCACACACACACAGACACAGACACACACACACTTCCTTTTTTTTATGATGACAACATGTCTCACAGAGAGGTGGAAAAACAAAGAAAACACAGGTTATAGATTAGAGTGGTTAAACTCATTTTGACAAATATAAAGAGTATACCTTACTCCCTTTGAAAGCATACTTCTTTCCCTTTGGCATTATAAAAAAGGTGAGAAAAACAATTAAAAAAATATGTCAAGTATTTAAGCACATAGATCACCAAATCAAGTTTAAACATTTTAAAAATAAAAAAAAAATTCATTAATTAAAAAAATTACATTCAAGTAAAAAAATCAAGAAATATAAAAAATGTAAACACTTAGTAGCAAATAAAACACAAAAGTGAGACAACTATTAGTTGTTACTATTATTATGGTCCATGATTATGGCTTTTCTCGATGTATTCTTCTTAATGGTTGCTGTTGTTTTCGGATTTTAAAAATTGAGTTTGACACAAGAAAATTATCGGGACGAGTCGCGTACTAGGTCGCTTTCTTTAAGACGTTTCACCATACTGCCAAAATATACAAAGCAGTCGACTTACGACGACGTCTCCAGGATAAAATAGCCCGTTCAATAACGTACGATTGATAAATCACTCTAGAAATACACCTTTCTAAGTCACAGTATCTGGCGAAAATAGCTAGTCGAAAAAACAAGAAAAAACAAGAAAAGAAGGATTTGTAGACGAAGAGAATTAAGGGAGAGAAGATGGAAATCAAAATTCGTGTGAACTTTTTTTGAAATCCGCTTCTTCACTACTGAACTTCTACCCTGTATTTATAGGCAGCTAGTAAGGCTGAGTAGGGAGAAATTCGTGGTGAATGGAGAAAATCGTGGGAGAATGGGGAAATACTGGATCTAGTAAATATGGCAGTTACTAGGGGTGGCAAAATGGATGGATTGGATGGATATGGATTGGATTGTTAATGGATGGATTAAAAGAATCCATTAGTCCATTAACAATCCACTAAAATTTTCTTTAAATTATCCAATCCAATCCATCCATTAAGAATAAAATCCATCCAATCCATCCATTAACATATTTTTAATGGACGGATATCCATCCATCCAACTTTTTTTTTATTTCAACAAAATAAATATATTTTTTTATTTTTAAAAAATTGATTTTATTTTATTTTTGAAAATTTCATTTTTTGTATTTTTAAAAAAATATTTTTTAATATATTTATTAAAAAAACTGAATTTTTTGTATTTTCAAAAAAATTTGATATTTTAATTTTTAAAAAATATCGATTTTTTTCCAAAAAAAAAGTCGGTTTTTTTTTTCGAAAAAAAAATCAGTTTTTTATTTAAAAAAAAAACAATTTTTTTCGAAAAAAAATCAATTTTTTTTCTAAAAAAATAGTCGTTTTTTTTTTTAAAAAAAATCGATTTTTTTTTCGAGAAAATTTTTTATTTTTTTTCGAAAAACAAATCAGTTTTTTATTCTGAAAAAAACCGATTTTTTTTCCAAAAAAAAGTCGGTTTTTTTTGAGAAAATTTTTTTTTTCGAAAAACAAATCAGTTTTTTATTCTGAAAAAAAAGACTGATTTTTTCGAAAAAAGAACCGATTTTTTCGGAA